GTGCTGCGGCTTCCCCCGAATGACACGCATGAAGTGGCATTAACCTTTTTTGTTTGTTTGGGCAGCAGGCATGTACTCGAGGCTGATTTGTCATTGGGATATTCTCTGCTGCCGGCTACTGGCCCTTTTCCACCCCTTTTTTCTCCTTTGAAACACATGGCTCATATCTATTGGTGTGGAGATTGACGTGCTGGGTTGAGGTCCCTTTAGCAAAGAGGATTGGATTTCACGCCTGAATCTGGACGTGTTTGTGGAGAGGTGCAGAAAATGGTGATTGAACTGCTTTTCTGCATCTCTTCGTAATAGACATCCAGATTCAGACTCTCAATCCAATCCTCTTTGATAGGGGGACCTCGCCGGTGGGGGGAGATGCAGAGGACGAGGTAGCAAAGAGGACTGGACGTGACGCGTGAATGTAGACGTGTTTCAGGAGAAGTGCAGAAAATCGCGATTCATCTGCATTTCTGCATCGCGGTTTATCCTGCTTTTCAGATTCTACCGTGCCCTCGCCCCGCGTGACGTCGCATCTTTATTTATTTATTTATTTATTTATTTTTGGGTGACGTGGCATGTCCTCACCCTTACAACTGGGACATCGCCCCGGCGGACGTGGTGAGCTGATAAAAACTGCAAGTATATCCAAATGGGTCCCGATCTTTCCGAATCAGCTCTCGCATTTCCTGTTTACAAATGCGTCATCTCCGAATCGCCCATGCTCCCACACCCGTACTTTCCGAAATGCATCTGACCGCAATTACGGCCGAACTGCATGAATCTGGTTGCAATCACGTCCAGAGCTTTGTACACGAATTTCGCTTGAGCTCATTGTGACCTAGGTTGTTGACTTGGCTTTTGTTGTCTATTACTTGCTGAAACGCTCTTCGCACGAATGAGTGGTTGTGTGTTTATTATGAGTAAAAGCAGGAGCGTCTTTTGGGGAGAAAGAAAAAAAAAAAAAAAAAAAAAAGGAAACACCGATGCATGTATTATTTTCTGCAAAACTAAAAAAAAAAAAGGAGACACCGATGCATGTATTATTTTCTGCAAAACTGTGATTATGAGTTGAAGTAGGAGTGTCTTTTGAAAAAGAAAAACAGAAAAAAAAGTAGTGTCTTTTTGGGGGAAAAAAAAGAAAAAAAAGGAGGAGACACACACGCATGTATATTTATTTTTTTTGCAAGTCTGCGATTATGAATGAAAGTAGGAGTGTGCAAGGAAAATGAGCTGTAGCGAAATGACAGAAACCCAGAATGCAAAATCACACTGAAACCCAGAAGGTCTAACGCTGTCCAGAAAGCAGAAATGCACAGATATTCTACCGATGGAGAACCAAAGAACCGAATCCGAATGTCAATGACAGCATACT